CCCTCCGAGGAAAGAAGGAAGTTGACTTCTTCTTCAGCAGACTTGGCATTCTTTCTCTGAGAGGGCAGGAGGTCATCATGAACTTCTTTGATGACTGCGTACTGAAGGTGGATGCGACGGGCAACATGCTGCCTGCTCTTCTTGGGGTGAGCTTGCACGCCTCCGGGGCTCCCTGCAGCGCTCTCAAGTGAGGTTTGCCACTCTTGGGAGCAACAGACACGTGTCTGTGGCCTCTGCTTACTTGTGTCTATCCCGATGCAGGACTCTGAGATGCTGAATATGATTGCGTTTAAAGGCAAAAACAACTTTACTCGATGCAGTGAGGATGGCTGCATCATCATACCAAGGTGAGCACAACCACTCCTGCAGCAGCCAGCCGGCCAAGGGAGCAGCTGCTCAGCTCATGCTTTGGGGCAGCTTCTTGCTTAGGCCTCTCTGTTGGCAAGGTTGTTAGGCAAGAGCAGCCCTTCTCTGGGAGAGCTCCAGTTTGGCCCGTGGTTCGGTCAACCCAGACAGAGCAGTCCAATGGGCCGTGGGCCCTGAGTGAGAGAGGCAGGAGGGTGTGTGGGGGCAGCAAGGACTGTCTCACTGTTCAGGGCTGGCACAAAAGCAACAAAAGCTCAGGATCAGAAGTTGCTGGAGACTGGAGGGCCCCTCAGCTCCCAAATAGCCCTGCCACCAGGTTCTCTGTGTGAGGCACTGAGGGAGCTTGGTGCCCTTTTTGCCCACTGGTGTCTTCTTGTTTCCAGAATTGAAATTGAGGGCTCAAAGACATGCCGAGGTACGACTTCCCTCAAGCCCCAAAGACAGTCGCAGCCATGGGGCGAGGGTGCCCGAAGAGGTATGTGAATGTGCCTGAAGTGGATGAGGAAACCTCTTCTCTGCTGGGGAACTTATCCCCGGCCAGTAAGCCCTGGAGTTTCTGAGCATCTCCCTGTGTGTCCCTGCTGCTGGGAGAGGGGTGAGAGAGAGCAGGATGGGCTCAGGAGGAATGCAGATCTAGTCCAGTGTCCAGCAGGGGCAAAGAGCCCCTGAAATAGTGGCTCTGTTCCTGGGGTGGCAATGAGTGTGGGTGAGCGGGGCCAAGCAGCTCTGCCACTGCTGCTTACCTGCACGGTCACAAAGATGATGATGTGATGTTCTCTTGCTTCCCACGTGCAGTGAGCGTGTACGATCCGGTGATGATGGCTCGGCGCAGGGCATCACAAGTTGTGATGACAGAGAAAAAACGCAAGGAGCAGGAGAAGAAAAAGCAGAGGGATAGATTCAGGTGAGCCTCCTGGAGAAGAGCAGTGGCAGGCGGTGGGGGACACACCATGCTCTGGCTTGTTGTGTCAGGGAGGTGTTTTCCTCAGTCGTGGTGCCCTTGCCAAAAGGCCCTGGAAATGGCAAGGTGACTACAGCCACAGTTACTTGTGCTGCTGGAGCAGAGCTGTGGGCTGCGAGTCCAGTGGTGAGAAACTGCTTCAGCCTGTGCTCCCACCAGCTCAGCCAGCTGTCTCTCTTTAGGTTCCTGGCAAAACTTCAGCAGGCGTATGCTGAACAGCTGAAACAACCAAAACCTCCAGATCAGGCAAAGCCCTCTGCCAGTGCAAAGCAGACCTCCAGAATGGTATGCCAGAGGCACTGATCTACCACCCTTGAATCCCCCTGGGGCTCCAGAGGAGGGCAGGCATGGCAGCAGCAGCTGGCCTCCCAGGGGTCCCTGCCCAAACCCCAGGAGTCTGACGCTGCCAATGGTTGTGTTTCCCTGGCCTGCAGGCAGCACGTTTGAAGCACACTCAGACTGAGGCAAGACGGCTCCAGGTGCTGATGGCTTCCAAGCGCAAGGAGGTCGAAGCTGAAGTCCAGTGCCAGTACCAGGAGTGCACGCAGAGGCTGAGCTCAGAGAGAAGCCAGGTACAGTGTGCACTGACTGCCCTCATGGAAAGGGCAGTTCCCCCCTGCTCCTCTCTTAGGGAGGCGAGCAGCTCAGGGCTTCCGGACACAGCAGCATTGCTGTGGCCACCTGGCAAGGAAGCATCTTCTGTCTGCCCACTGCCCTGCAAGTTGCTGTTTGAGAGAAGCTGCAGCAAAGAGCACAGGGCAAAGGCAGCAGCTGGTTGGGCATGGGCACATGAACATTAAAGCAAGCCTGCGTGAGGCACCTGCCTCAGCTGAGGCATCAGAGTCAGGTCACACACCTCCAGGCAGAAAAGACCAGTGCCAGCCCTTGGCTTCAGGGAGTGAGGGCACAGTC